AAACTCAACATAGACTGGAGTTCTTAGATTACTGGGGTTTTCTTTTCTATGTAGGACGCATCATCACTGGGGACATACCCGTGGAGGGAATGAGATCATTGACTTGAGACTTATTTTTAGTAATGTAAATATTTACTCTCACAAATTTTCTTCTAAGCATTTTATTTGTTTGTTGAATGGAGTGTTATATGTATTTTAATAAGATCAGATTTAGTGATAGTGTTGAACAGGTCTGTTGTAGTTTTGTTGATTTTTTTTTGTCTGTTACTCTATTGTTTATCAAGCACAAAAAGTTAAAATCTCCAAGTGTAATTGTAATTTTGTCTACTTTTTTTTTTTTATTTCTGGGACAGGGTTAATGGTCTTTTTTTTTTAATTTATTCATTCTCTACATTAATTCACTATACACCATCACAACACACAAATGAATTTTCCATCCAAAATACACTGTGCATTGGCTCAATCAAGCACATCAACATACATGTTCTCAGCAAAGAATTTTCCAATTCTTATGAAATTAAATATTTTTTAATGTTCAAAATATACGTGTCCTGGGGGCAAATGGCAGAGCAGTTGTGAAACACAATGTTCTGTGAGGCAATCCCACAGAATGTGGATTCAGGGCCAGAGACCTCCCTGATACACCGGGTACATGCTTGGCCCTTAATTTAGTCTGTCTGAAGCTGGGGGTAAATCCTAGAGTCAGGATCCTTTTGGGGTGCGCTTTCTCTCTCTCTTGCTCATGAAAGAAATAAATTAACTTAAGGAAAAAAATACCTGCTCATTCTGCCTTACGAAGCATGGTCAAATACATTCTGAAGAGTGTAAGTTGACCTTAGAGGTGACTCAGTGGCCCTCCCCTCCTCTGCACTTCCAATCCCTGCTCCTGAGGACGGCATCTTGCTGCAATACCTGCCTCTCTCCACCTGAGGGCTCTCCCTAGAACCACAAATAGGCCAGAAATGCCTGGTGACTGTCATGTAGCCAATGTTAAAAGAGAATTGGAGAATTTATTGTGCCCCAAATAAGACAACTCAGAAAAATACTGCTCTGGCTCCAGAGTTCCCTAGTGGGAGAGAGCTACAATTGCCTACATCAGAAAGCTTGACAACACTCACTTTATCATCCTCACTATCTGCCATTCCTTATCCATGCTTTCTTAAATCTTCTCCCAAATAAACTACTTACACCCAAATTCTTGCTTGAAGATCTGTTGGGAACCCAACCTAATACTGTGACTAACTAAAATGTATTACATATAAAAAGAAGGATGAAAACCAAAATTAAATATTTTTTAAGGTTTTTGCTTCCCTGAGGTAATGCAGGGCTGGTAACCATCATCTTCTCACTGTCCATAGGTAGAGAAAATCCTCCTATACAATATATTTCTCAATTGGTTTAAGACAGCTAAAGTTTCTTTCTGTTGCTTATAGTTGCAAGTTCTTAATCCTTGTTTTCCGCTTCAGTTTGCCACCTGTGGCCAGCGGCCGCAGGGGGTGGGGGCGGGCACGCGCAGGCCCGGTGGCCACGCACATGCCCGGTGGCCACGCACAGGCCAGGGGACAACGCGCAGGCCTGGCGGCCACGCTCAGGCCCAGCAGGCACAGGCCCC